CCTCCTGAGTGCTGGGATTATAGGTGTGTGCTACCACTGCCTGGCATTACTATTTTTTTAAGCATTTATTGTGTGTGTGTGTGTGCGCGAATGAGCCACTGAGTGGAAGTTGAGGTCAGAGGACAACTTGGAGATAGTTCACTCCTACCACATAGGTCCTGGGGATTGAACTCCCTCCGGTCATGAGGTTTGGAGGAAGGTGCCTTTTACCTACTGAGTCATTTCCCTGACCTTGGTTTTACTGTTCTTGAAATGTCTTTCCATTCGGTGGTCCAGAATTCATGAACCCGCAGAAACCATCACCCTGGATATGACAGTCCAAAGCCCCCTGTTCTGTGGGGATTGCACACATGAGTCGTCATTGGGAACAAAAAGATACTTATTGCTTTTAAAATTTTATTATTTGTTGCTGTTGTTTCTTGAGACAGGGGTCCCATTATGTTGACCAGGCTGGCCTCGAACTCACAGAGATCCACCTGCCTCTGCCTCCTGAGTGCTGTGTACCACCATGTAGCAGTAGCAGTAAGATACTTAATTTTAGATAATCTGAATAGGATGAAGTGAGAAGGAGGAAAAGGGAAAAGAGAATATTTGAGAATATTCCTGTGGCCAGGGGAGGTTCTGGTTCGTGAACCTCAGTTGTTCCTTCTTGGAGGCTTGGGTGTAGGCCTTTTCAGCCTCCCTCTGACTGCACGAATGAGCACCCAACTCCAGCACACACACACACACACACACACACACACACACACACACACACACACTGTGTGAGTCATGATCAAAGCCAAGGGAGAGCTTGCACTGCCTCACCATCTGGTTTCCTTGAGCAGTTTCTTTAGTCATAGTTTTAAAGTCACGGGGCTTTCCCTAAGCAGACTTCTCTTTATATCCGGGCTGTCAAAATAATTATCTGTCATTTTGGTGTTTGGAATTACCACCCGTAGTAAAGGCATCATCAACAAATGGCCCTTGAGGGATCTTACTGCAGAACATACCTAGTTATCAGCACCGGCACGGGTGCCTCTCCCTCTCCCTCCAGGCTGCATCTCCAGAATACCCGAGTCTGATTTAAACAGAAGGTAGCACACTAGTGTACTACAGTGGCTGGGAGAGCCCTCTGGGCTGAGGCTGGAGTTTCCCCTCCCTGGAAGACAAGGAGCCTGCAGGCTGCAGTCAGGGCAGTTCTGACTCAGCTCTGACTTGTCTACCAGTACTCCTTGATAAGGGCTCTTCTTTCTACTTGTGGAAGTGTACCTGTCTGCTCAGATTTCAGGAGTGAAAACCCCCTTCCCAAGAGGGGATACATGCAAGATTCTAACCTGGGATTCTTGGCACGGACGTTGTTTCTTTCCATGTTCAGGGCTCCAACTTTATCTCGGGTGTTGATTCTGGACTTTTCCCTCTTATCCCAATTTTCTCTTTGGTTTGGAACTAGCCATTTTTAATCTTAAAATTAAGCGCACAGCACACATGCGGAGTCAGAGGAACTTGTTGGGGTCAGTTTTCCCCTTCCACCGGGGGTCTGGGCGTTTGAACACAGCATCGGGCTTGGCAGGAAGGTACCTGTGTGCTGAGCTTCCCATCCCCCCCCCGTTTCCCCTGTATCGAGATAAAACCCAGGGCCTTGACCATGCTAAGCAAATGCTCCATGGTTCCAAACTCCCCGACCCTGAGTCTGGAGCTGTCAATCCTAAAACTAAAGTCAAGAGTTAATCATTGCCAATGATAAAATAATGTAGCTAAAAAGAATTCTTCTCCTTGTTTAAACATTTTTCTTCATTGCAAAACAAAGCATTAATGTGCGTTCCTGTTTAAGTACATAGTCCAATCTTTCAAAGAAAATTGCATTTGAAGGCTTGCCATTAATAAGACAGATTTCCCCTTTGTGCTTACATGAAGCTACACAATGCTGAAGGGGGGAGTTAACGTGTTTTAGAAAGCAGAAAGTACTAAGCCATATGATTTGAACTCTAGGTAGGAAAGAGCAAGCAGAACCTCTGTAGTTCTTTCTCTGAGAACTTTTCAAAGCTGTCTTTTTTTCCTTTTTGCGATGGGAATTGAATCCAAGGCCCCGTACACCTTAAGCAAGTCATGTACAATCAAGTCACACCCCAGCGCCCCCCAAATGTTTTTCCTTAAAAAGCAAAGAGAATGAGAAACCTACCTAGGATTTTTAACTCTAGTTTGAGAGTTAAAACTAGGACAATTCAGAAGAGACAATTTTAAGGGGAAGCGGTGTCATTTTTTTTTTTTTGACAATTGGCCTCTTCCATGGACATGCATGTCCCTGGACATGGGGACAATCTAGGCAGCTGCCTTGGATACACAACGCAGTTGGAAAACCGCAAGGGCGGTAACGAACCCAAACACTGGAAGTTTCACTGTAATCTGACACACAACTCCACCGAGCATGCTCCTTCAGAGCCTCCCGTTCTAGGTGCACGCGGAGAATGCATGCATTGAGCACACTTTTCCCCCACCCCCAGCAAACACATCCCCAGATTGCGTCTGAACACACAGATCCGACACACAGCTACAATGCAGCATGCTTTTCGGAGCCTGCAAGCTTTTACGGCTGTCAGCCAACAAGATGTCCAAGCACAGTAGAAGCCTGCCCCCTAGTGGTCCACACCTGGAGAGACCCTCCTGTGACCCCAGGGACGCCCCGGAGAGGTCCGCAACAGCTGCTTGCTGCCCTGGATCTTTCCCTCACATCTCCTTCTTTCTCTGGAGAAGACAACTCTGTTTGGGGAGCTGAGGAAGGGTGTGCCATCCAATAGTAACCTTGAGTAGAGCATTTTTTTGTTGTTGTTGTCTTTCAAGACAAGGGTATCTCTGTGTAGCTTTGCAGACCAGGCTGGGCTAGAACTCACCAAGATCCGCCCTGCCTCTGCCTCCCGAGCAAGCGCTGGCCTTAGAATAAGGTTCTTGAGTTTCTGACTTTTATCGTAAAAAGAAAAGTTTCTGTATCTTTTCTCTCTTGAGTGCAATGTTGTAAAGGTCAGGCTGCAAATTCTTTCATTAATGTTACAATGACTACCCTTTGCCTGTTACTATGCAGATAGTTAAGAGAATGTCCAGGTCCAAATTGCCCTTGTCTGTATTATTATTGTCTGTATTATTATATGTCTGCATGTAGTGAGTGTTTAGGTAGGCGTGTGTGTGTGTGTGTGTGTGTGTGTGTGTGTGTGTGTGTGTGTAAGGGGCCACAGCAGGTCGTTGTCTTCTTCTATTGCTCTATGTCTTCACGGTTACCGAGCAAGCACTGCTGTCATCCCCTGAGTCCCATCTCCCAGCTCCAACCCTTGTACTTTGATAGGTACAGAACAGACTGGAGAAGCTTTCTATAAAATTCTCCTTGATGTGGACTTGCCGGAGGCCTGAAGCGTGCACTCTCTGTTGGGCTTTGAGGGGATTAATTTTGCTCATCTGTCTCTCTTGAGCGTATTTCTTGAACCTTTCCCCTGTTGTTTTGTTTTGATGGGTGTGTGTGTGTGCTCGTGTGTGCGTGTGTGTTTGCATATCTAGGACCCTGCTTACACTAAGTACGCAGCCCACCACTGGACTCCGTCCCAGTACTCGATGTGTTTTCTTTAACAGCATTCTCTATGCTGTCAACATCAAAGCGCTGCCTTTGGGATTTGGTTTTGGAGTCTCTGGTGGCACTAAACCCACAAAGGGGGACAGCCTTCCACCCTGGATTTCTTGGCCTCATAGATGAGCTCCTAAGCTCCTTTCCCATCTCCTAACTTTCAGACTCCAGCCCTCTCTGAATTCCTTGGCTCAAGGCCAGCCTCCTCCTTTAACTCTTTCCCTACTCCTCCATGCATTCCTCATCTGGTAAGCTGCATCTCACCTGAAACCCACCACTTCCTGTAAGCAGCCCCTCCCCCCAAAAGGATGAAGACAGCACCAGGGCATGACTGGCACACTCCCAACACACAGGAACACACCCCAAAGAAAACGAACACGAGACTCACGGAAAGAGAACGTCACATTCTGTGCCTCTGAACTAAAGACCCCAAGAGGGCGAGAGCATCATTTAAAAAAACATACGAATTAGTCACCACCATCACTTCATATAACGAGAGATGTTTGTCATTGTTGTTTTATTAGGGCCTTGCTGTCACGGTTCAGGCTGACTGGGAACTAGCAATGTAACCCCCAAGCTAGCCTCAAACTCACGTGTCTCCTGCCTCAGCCTTCTGAGAGCTGAGGGGTTACAGGAAAGTGGTCAGCTACTTGTAGCAGTCCTGGGCATTCCTCAGCAAAATGGGCTGCTGTTGTCACTGATTGGGTATTTTTTTTTTTTTTTTTGCTTTATTTGGTACCAGGGGAAGGTGCCCAGGGGCCTTGTATAACAGAGGGAAATCAATACTCGTTAAACTAGACAACACAAAATTGACCCCCACAGCATCTTTTGTTTATGTATTTTTTTGAGACAGTCTCGTGGAGACTATGCTGTTTTCAAATTTCCTCCTCCTCCTCCTCCTCCATTTTCATGTGCTAGGAGGATTACAGGCATGCACCACCATGCCGGGACTTCCTCCACAGCATCTTGTGGTAGAATTGAGTGCCCAAGAGCTTGCTGTTGGATTGACAAATGCACTTGCTAGCATGGGAGCCCGAATGATTGTTCATGCCTGCACGCTTCCCAGGGGGATCCGGTCCACTGTGTGAGCACAGAGGACCACGGCTCCTCTGGGAAAGGCCTTGCTGACTTCCGACAGGCCTTTGCATCCACTCGGGCTCTGGACCTGAGGCGATCATACAGCACAGACATACATGTGCTCTCACGTGACCTCGGAGGCCGAGAGACTTAACATGAGACTTAACAGGAGAAACACGAGACGAAAAGGCAACAGCTGGCAACCGGAGCAGGGCGTCACACACCACGGCCACAGAAGCTCGCTAGCTACGGCCACGCTGTGCAGCCTTGAAGCAAAACTACTGATTTTTGTGGTTGTAAAAAAACAAAAACAACAAAAACCCCCGAAACGTACCTTCAACGGCAGAACTCAGTTTTATGACACCTTGAATAAAAACAAGAGATGGTAGTTATATAATGGACCTGGGTTACCTTTTTTTTTTTCCAGTTTTTCATATAACACACGCACATTTCAGGTCTGGATATATACATATATATGTATGTATGTATGTATATATATATATTTGTTGGTGTTGTTGAGAAATGAAACAATTTGAAAAATGGAACACAGAAGCATCAGCACTTCCTGATCTTTCCTGGGCCTGAGAATCATTTTACACACGTTGGGGCAGAGTTTGTGTTGAAATACGCAATAGACGGATGAAAACCAAGGCATCTCTCCCGGCATCCTTCCCCAAACTGGTTGGGCAAAGCTGTTTTCTCAGTCTTCAGGTGTAACTTTGTCTTTGCAGGGGAAACAAAAGGCTACCTGGGTATGTCAAGGTGATCATGGAGAAAGTAGACATTACCTATGTCTGGACTGTTTGTTTTCCCCCAAACTTAAGGCAAAAATGCTAAAAGGTAGGCCCGGTCCAGCAATTTGATTTACGGCATAATCTCTGTAAGCCACAGCTGTATAGAGGTAAGGTTCTCCAGTTTCCTTCTACAGTCTGTGTGTATGACACAGATGTGTGTCAACACAGGTGCGCGCACTTGGTCGGAAGACAACCTCCTGTGTTCTCTCCGTCTACCTAGCTTGAGGTGGCGCCTTGCTTGCTTTGGGGATGTTCCTGTCTCTCTGCCTCCCTTAAAAGCACACTACTGAACAAGTTTTCCATGGACTCTGAGGATCTGCAGTCAGGTCCCCCGGCTTGTCCCCGGAGCTCTTTTATTCACTGGGCCATCTGAGCAGCCCCTACTTTCTGTGCCACAGCTGTGGTCTTTCACACGGTGCCAAAGTGTCCACAGCATTATCTGGTTGAAGATGTACCTTGTCTTTTATACTGGAAAGGTTTCTAATTTAAGTGGAAATGAAAGTCTTTTGAATACCACCAAATCCAGCTGGTATCAGCTGGCCTGCACACGGCTTCCGTTGAGTGCCCGTAGGCCAATGTACTCATTGCAAATGCCACCAATGTAAACTGTGTGTAGCGTCCGGTGTATGAAAACGAAGTCACAGTAATCGTAAGGCAACTTCCAGAGAGCACCAGCAATTCAAACTGTAACTAGTGTCCCTCCCCCAACAAATCATACATTGATTTATACGCCAATCTGACCTTTCTCCGATATGTTTATTGTCATTACATCTTATGATCTGAACCCATTCCTCATACACGTTGTTTTCATTAGGTTAAAGCCTCGTTCAGTTCTAATGGCAGTGAAAACTCATTGTGAGGTACCCCTTTGGATGCGGGGCTGGGAAGAGCTGTGGACTTAACGGCAGGACACAGCTGCGAATAGCTCCAGGAGTAGGAATTAATAAGCTGTTGTTGGGAATTCCAGGATTTTTAGTAACCTGTCACCATTGTTCCACCAGTGCTGGGCACTGAAGAAAAAAAAAAACAAACCAGTCAAGCTTGGAGGTGCAGGTCAGTGGCCCAGTCCTGAGACTGGTTCAATTCTTTTTTTTTTTTAAAGATTTATTTATGTATTATGTATAGTGTTCTGCCTGCATGTCAGAAGAGGACACCAGATCTCATTATAGATGGCTGTGAGCCACCCTGTGGTTGCTGGGAATTGAACTCAGGACTTCTGGAAGAGCAGTCAGTGCTCTTAACCTCTGAGCCATCTCTCCAGCCCCTGAGGTTCAATTCTTGATAGCATTAAAGCATTGTGTATTGTCTGCCTCTGAACTGTCTGGCTCTTTTGTTTGTCATGTAGATTTATGGAATTGTGAGTTTATATAACTTAAATTGTAACAAGGAGCTCACAAGCTTCCTGGAAAACAAAAGAACTGGGGAGTCGGCTTCTGCAGGCTGCAAGGAGCCAGCCTTTGGACATGGCCATCGTCACCAACGTTCCTGCCACTCAGGCCCAGAGAGGAAAGCTTACTTAGGTTTGTAGACATGGTTTTTAGTTGCTTATTTTTATTTTTACTTTTTAAAAACAGGGTTTCTGTGTGGCTTCCTGTCCTGGAACTAGCTCTTGTAGACCAGGCTGGCCTCAAACTCACAGAGATCCACCTGCCTCTGCCTCCCGAGCGCTGGGATAAAAGGCATGTGCCACCACTGCCTGGCTATGGACATGGTTTTAATTGAACCGAACAAGCCGGTTGTAAACAACTTGATCATTTACTATGATTTTGAGAGTCTCAACGCCTCTCAAAACTGTCAGATGCAAGAAATACCTTTATGTCCATTACACTGGAAGCAGCAGCCTTTGACCTCCACTAAGAACAAAAGCTAAGGTGGGTTTGCCCCCCCCCCCTTTTGTGGTCAGACAAAGCAAGAGGTAAGGTCAGGCCTGAGCACTAGACGTATTAATGAATCTGCCATATTTGAACAGTAGGATGTAAAACAATGTGTGCAAATTGTGTGGGAGACAGTCTCTGTAAAGAACACCTAAACATTCTAGGACTAAAGTGGCCTTGGAGGGAAGTTAAAAAAATGCACTTACTGAAAGAAAAAAAAATTAAGTTAGACAATAGCCTGATTTTAGAACTTTCAATGTGAACATTGTTTTCACAGAAGCATTAATGAATGGATCATTAACTTCAAATGGATGTTTCTTATCTTTTAAACAACAAATTAGATTTTTCTCTGTATTAGGGCAGATATTTATGTTTTGAAGAAACTATTTTGTAGTGAAAGTCTAAACTCAACCAAAGCTCAATATAGGGCTAATACGAACATACATATGGTTATAGAACGACAGGAAAGGTTATAGAACAACAGGAAAGGTTATAGAACGACAGGAAAGGCACCCTCCATCTTAAGTCTTAGAGTGTCTAAGAAGTGACTGCTGTTGATGTTTTGTTTTTTGTGTTTTTTTTGGTTTTTCGAGACAGGGTTTCTCTGTGGCTTTGGAGGCTGTCCTGGAACTCGCTCTTGTAGACCAGGCTGGCCTCGAACTCACAGAGATCCTCCTGCCTCTGCCTCCCGAGTGCTGGGATTAAAGGCGTGCGCCACCAACGCCCGGCTTGGTGTTGATGTTTTAAGGTACACACACGGTGTCGCTGACTTGCAGCAGACACAGGCTGGACATGCTGTAAGCAGACACCATTGACGTTCCCTGTCGTTCAGGGTAAGCCACAGCATGTACATGTATGTAGATACACAGAACGGAGCCCACCACTTCCCAACGAGTTCACTGCTTCAGTCTGCAGAGGGTTTTGAAAATCAAAAGCAAAACATGGAAAGATGAAGGGGAAAAAAAATCCCGGTGGTTTCCCCCTGAACTGGTTTTCTCAGCAAGGCAAACTCCTAACTCGGTGGTGATCTCTGCAAAGCCCTCACCCACCACCCCCATTGTCCTGAGGGAGGGAGCCAATGGCCAGCCAGGGGGTGCTTCCTTCTTGAGCTGTGTTCGTTCGATGTAGCCCTAGGGGTGTGTCCTAGACATCACGCATGTGATTCTTTGGCTGTGTTTGCTTATTGCAGTCCTAGGGGGTGAACTAGACATCACGCATGTGAGTCAACGATCAACCACAGTGCTAGGCCCTCGGCTCATTTTTTTTTTTTTTTACATTGGGTGTTGAGATAGAGTTTTATAGGATGACCAGGTTGGCCTTGGATCCACTCTGTAGCTCACACAGGCCTTGACTTTATAACCCTCCAGCCTCAGTTTCGAGGACAGTTAGGATGACAGGCTCTGCTGCCAGGCCCGTCTCCCTTATTACCTGCATCGATCCCACACCCTGCCATCTTTGGTGCTGAGGATTTAACCCAGGAGTTTCCATAAACTAAGTCCCTGCTCTATTACTGATCTACAACCCCGAACCTCCCTCCCCCATAAGCGATGATTGGTTCCAGCTGTTCTAAAAGAATTCATAGGAGAAACGATCAGGTTAAATCATGCTAAAGTGTGAATGACTGGAGTTCGCTAGGATCCTGCAGTGGGCATCTCGCTGCTGGTGACAGACCCAGCCAGTTTCCGGCCCTAATGAGACACCCTGCCTTTCCCAACAGTCCTCTTCAATGCTCGCTCCTTTCTGCCCTGAGCCAGCCTAACTGCTGCTGCTCCACCTGAGCTGTGGAATCTTCCTCTTTCTCTTCATTCAGACCCTGCTCCAAGACCCCCTCAGACCCTGCTCCAAGACCCCTTCTCCTCACAGTCCTCCTGGTGGCTGCATTCGGAGAAGCCCACAGACCACCCTCTGTGCTAGGCTTTGAGTTGACGTCTCTATCTGAAATGCTCTCCTGTGGGTGTCCCTCGCTCACACATGTCTTCCTCAGCAGGGCCAAGTATGGTGAGATGGGTCCGTGTTGTTTGTTTCTGGAACCTCTTGCCCAGCGGAATTCATAGAATGAGCACCCGGTAAATACCTTTAAAGCGTTTTATTTTTTGAGACGGAGCCTCACGTCAGCCCAGTATGATCAAGAACTCAACACGTAGTTGGGGATGCCCTCGGTCCTCATGCCTGCTTCCTGAGTGCTGGGATTTACAGGCGTGCACCACCGCGCCTGCCTAGCAAATACTCAGAGTTAATTAACTGAATGGTCACTGCCAAGGTTCCATGTCACACACACGGAGCTTCAGTTTTAGCAAATGTATTTCGGGTGTATTATTTAATCGTGAGTAGCATTGAGTGGGACACTGAGAACTCATTACCCTGATCACTGTCTGTCCATGTCTACTCAGTGACTGTGTGTGTGTGTGTGTGTGTGTGGTGGGGAGGGTTGTTGGGGGGAGACCGAGGAATGGAGAGAATATATATGTAAGTTTCAGTAGATATAACAGTACTTCCTATTGTAACAGTAACAAGAGCTCAGAGAAATCTGATTGGCTGGCTACTTGTAGCAAGAGTGTGCCCCTCATTAGATGCCACGAAATATTAATGCATTGGTTGTATATCTCCAAGCATCCCAAGAATCTGTAGTTCTCTTCAGCGGTATCACCCTGTCCCCAACTATAGCTGAGTTCATATGATGAGATATAGAGAAAAGAGTGGCTGGGGGGGGTCACAGGTGTGTGTCGCCACGCCTGACTGAGGACCGTCTCAGTTTTTAATATCCCGACTAATGAGTTGCTGTCCTGCAGCTGGCAGGGCCCCTCAGAAGGTTCTCAGCCCTTTTGACCCTGAAAGGCTCAGGCATTACGCTGGCCTGTCCTGTTACCTGGCAGAATGCACTCAGGCAGCACTCTGGCCAGCCCAGAGTTCCGTGAGAACCAGTCTGCACGCAGGTGCAAAGGACCCCTTTACAGGACAGACGCCTGCCCACTTTCGCTTTCTGGTCTTTCTCTCTCTCATCTTCCCTTACTCTCATCTTCTCTCTCTCTCTCCTCTTTTCTCTTACCTTTCCCTCTCTCAAGTCTGTCTCCCCGCTTTCAGTCTCACTATAATAAGCTATGCTCTCCCTGGCTTGTGCTCTGTCCGCTGTGCCGGTCCTTATTCCCTAGTTAACAACAGACCCTTTCAGTGGTGTTATTTTTAAGATAAAGACAAGCCTCAAAGGAAGCTTGCAGGGCCTTTCAGGGTGTCACCTAAGGAGAACAAAAGACAGCTCTGCATTCACGCTCATCTACAGGAGCAGTGCAGAGGCCCCTGGCCCCTGAAGCTACTCAAATCTCCTGGACCTCTGAATGTCAGAAGATAGGAAGGACCCTCTCTGCCCGCCCTGCGTCCGGCTTCACGAAGCCCATAGTGCCCTCTTCCTGTCTCTTGGGGGTCAGAAGCACCAAGCACGTTCTGCAGGGAGAGCCTCCACGTGAACCTCAAAGCAGAGGCTGTCGGACCCTGTTGCTGAGGGGTAAGAGAATGGGGGAGGAAACCACTCTTGGAAACAGGAGAGACATCGGTCCTTTTATGTGGTGAGAAGGCTTTCCGCCACATTATCCCTCTAGTAGGGGGGAAAATAGACCTAACGAACTGCATGGTTTCACTTGTTACTGTGCGGATCAATCCAGGGCTTCAGACACGCTAGGGAAGGGGCTCTTCCTCAGCCCAGATTTCCAAGTTCAGGGCTTAAAATATGTCCCCTCTGAATCAGAGCTGCACACAGTGAGTTCCAGACAGAGAGTCTGAAAAAAACACAAAAACAAACAAAAAAAACCACAAAACAGTAACAAACAAAAAGCTGTATTTAAGAAACACTCAGCAGAAACACAAAGAGGCAGGACTTGAAATGCCAAAGCACAACAGCAAAGTAAAAATATAAGAAATAAACTATTGGTCCTACATGTCAAGAGATGGCCATTATGATCCCCGCCCATTAAAAAAAATCAAATATTTAAGCATGTGTCCTCTGGAGTTCCTAAAGCTGAGAAAAAGATGGTAGGAATCAAAGCTGCTCCCCAGCTCCCAGCTCCGTTTTTGAAGAGAACTACAGACACATCTTGTTTTAGCAGACAGATGTCTAGTAAGTCCCCGCAGGAGGCCATGCCGATTCCAAAAGAATCGAATGAGGAACCACACCACCAGACGGGCAAGGTGAACAGCCGTGACTTGGTCTGAGAAGATAGCTCAGCTCAAGGTTTTATTTCCTGTGGGAAACGGATAATTCAGAGTACGGGACAAGAATCCGGTACCTGGGCTCAGGAGCTGTGAAGAATCATTCCCAGGAAGCAAGACTGGGCTCCTCAGTTGAAGAACGGCTTTCCGAACTTCTGCAGGCCACTGATTACCATGGGGACCCTTCTTCCCCTTTTGAGTAGAAGTTTCCTAATTTGGATAGGAGTGCCCTCCAAATGCACACGTGTGTCGAAGGCTTGGTCCCCAATGCAGTGTTCAGGGTGGGATTCGGAGATGATTGAATCAGAGGGACACTAAGCTCGTCCATAAGTGGACTAAGCCACTGGTGGGTTCGTAACTGAAAGGACTGTAAGAGGAGAAGCCTGATCGCAGGAACTGGATTTGCTGGGGCCTATCTTTGAAGAGTGTGGTCATTTGGATGGAAATGGCTCCCACAGGCTCTTAGGGTGTGGCCCTATTAGTAGGTGTGGCCTTGTTGGAGGAAGTGTGTCACTGAGGGTGGGCTTTTGAGGTCTCAGATGCTTAAGCGACACCTAGTGTTGCTCTTTTCCTGCTGCCCTGGAGATCCAGATGTAGAACTCTCAGCTCCTTCTCCAGCACCGTGTCTGCCTGCACGCTGCCATGCTTCCCGCCATGACAACAAACTAAACCTTCGAACCGTAAGCCAGCCCCAGTGAAATGCTTTCCTTTGTAAGTGTTGCCATGGTCATGGTGTCTCTTCACGGCAATAGAAACCCTACCTAAGACAAATGGTTTATCTTGTCTACAACTTCTGTCTGCTTTCCCAGCTGCCATGAGGTGAGCTTGACACAAACCTACAGTAACAGAGCCAGTTGACCTTGGACTGAGACCTCTGCAACCCTGAGCCAAACTGAGTTCCCCGTTCAGATGCTTTGTGCGATGATGGACAACTCTGTGCTCAATGGATTTTTTTTTCTCTTCCCACACCAGTATCTGTTGGATATAGGCGGCTCATAGACCTTTAGTTCGCAAACTCTTACATCTAAATTATACCAGAGAACTGCTTCAGGGGACTCTGCCATCAGCTCCTCAACCTCATTCAGGTAGCAAAGATCTCAAACTTGAGCGTGGAGGTTATGAGGTTGTTGAAGGATGAATTGAGGCTGCCTTCCCATAGGCAAATGACATCTTGGTCACTCCTCTTGATGTATGTGGGCTCTGTGACTGCTTTGACCAACAGAATAGAGTAGATGTGAACACAGAGCATTTGGGCTCGGACCTCAGGACGTCCTGTCATGAACACACTCTCTGAGAGTCCTGACACGTTAGAGGTCTAGAAACCACAAGGCTTGAGGTACCACTTAGAGTTTCAGTCAGTGTTGGGCCTGCGCTCCAGCCATCCAAACCAAGGAGTCATGCATGTGAGTGATACCATCATGTACCCACCCCCTGCCTGGTCTAGGCCACCGGTGATGGCTAGGCTTTGTCTCAACCTGACTGGGCTTTGTGGATAACCCCACATTTGGTCGAGCACTGTTTCAGGTGTACACGTGAAGGCTTTTCTGGGTGAAAATATTTGAATGAGTGGCTGGGTAAAGCAGGCTTGCCCCCCCTGATGTAGCTGAGTCTCATCCAGTCTGCTAAAGGCCTGAAGAGAGCTGAAAGGCGGACTGTGGGGGGATTTCTCCCCCTCTCTGCTGGGACACTGGGCTCCTGCCTTTAGACTCGGACTGGAATTCACGTTTGTCATCCACCTGGTTACCAGATCTCTGGACTTAGAACTACAGCAGCACCACATCTGCCTTTAATTGCAGATCTTGGGACCTCCCAGGCTCCCTCATCCGTGAGTCAGCTCTGAAACACTTTAGCACCCCAGCTCCTGATGCACACGGGACAGAAGAGTCACATTGCTGAACATGGCCTAAAACCCTCACACAAAACTGTATTTGATCGGTTTTCCCCTCCCTGTGACAAAATACCCGAGGAAAACAACTTAAAAAGGTGTATGAATTTCTTTTAGCTCATGACTTCAGTTCCTAGTTGCTTTGCTCTATTGCTATGGGGCTGTGGCAGCACGCTATGTCGTGGTTGGGGACACGGTGGAAGAGAACTGCTCACCTTAAAACAGCTGAAAAGGAGGAGGGAGAAATGAGAGAACAAAAGGTAGTTGGGGAGGGAGTCCCAGTATCTCCTTCAGGCCAGTGACCCGAACAACTTCCTAAAGTTCCTTCTAGTAGGGCCACGGGCTAATTAATGACTAAGCCTTCACACATGAGGCTCTGGGGCAGGGTTGGGGGGTGGTGGTGGCAATTTCAGATCCTAATTACAACGCAGAATCTGATAAAAAAATGGTTGTTTATGAGCGTATGCATTCCAAGGTAATAGAGTTCACAGCAAGAGACAACTGCTATCTCATCTTCCGGACCTGACACCTCTAAGCTTTCCTACCCTTATCGGTCACTGCCTACTTAGTATGTGAGGGGCTTTTCTCCAGAAGCTTCCCCCATGCCTTTCTCTGCCTTCGCCCATTGCTTCCTTGTTGGTGATCTCTCCTATCGGCACTGAGTTCTTTCCCCTTTGGAGCCCATCATCTCTGATGATGATTTACGCTGGTCCTCACCTCCTGACTGTAAGCCTCATGAGAATGGAGAGCGGAGGCTCCCTTTGATCACTGTGGAATTCCTGGCTTCAGCACAGTGACTGGGCACGGCCAAGTGCCGGATAAATATTTGTTAAGCAGATGAATGAAATGTTTGATGTTGCTGATAACGACTGGGTGCTCACCACCACCTCCGTAACGCACCGCTATTCTTCTTGCTCATGTGCTGTGCAAGCCTGGAAACCCAGCCGCAGGAACTGGGCAAGACCGTGTGGCTGACTTATTGATCAATTGCCGGGCTGTGGTCTGTGAGGGCAGCTGAGCACCCCTGAAGACTGTAAGCCCAGGAAAGAGAGTCATGAGAGCCCTGGGGATATATGGCTTTGGGGATGTGAGTGTGTGTGTGTGTGTGGGGGGGCAATCTGTGCTCTATTCCATTTATGGCCGAAGGGGAAATGGGGATGAGAGTTTTACTTGAGAGTCCTCCTGAGAAGTTGGTGGCATTTAGACTGTTTGAAGCACTTTAGGATGACGTTAGAAGCCATTCCTTGCTGGGTCAGGAGCTGTTTTCTGCCCTACATCTACAGAAGAAGGAAGCTGTTGGCTCAGGGCCAGGCAAAGCTGCCACCTTCAGCCCGTCCTGGGAATGAATCTCAAGGTATTGGTCCTCCAGATAAGGAAAACAGTGGCTCTCTTACAGTTGTGTGTGTTTTTTTCATCACTCAGTCATCATTGTTTCCAATAGTAAAGTAAGTGCAAGTCTTTATCAGTGTCTTTATAACTTCTATTTATAATTTAAAAGTACCATGCTCACACCCCCCCCCGTAAGTGGCACCCCTTCCTTTACTCTTCTCCCTCCCTCCCTCCCTCCCTCCCTCCCTCCCTCCTTCTCTCTTTCTCTCCCTCTCTCTCTTTCCCTCCCTCCCTCCTGGGTAGGTAGGGCATGGAATTCGGAGCTTTGACACAAATACACAGTTCTGGCCTCAAAGGGAATAAGAGTTTGGAGCCAGATGTGAGTGACCATGGTCTAGGGAACCCCGAGCCCCCCAAATACTTCCTTCCAGTGTGGTAACAGCTTGATGATGTTTATACAGTTACAGAACAAAGAACCTCATGAATCAAGGCACCTTGAAAAGGATTGGTGAGAACAGGAGGTATGACTTCCAAGGTACGGCTCTGCTACTGGATGTACGTGCTATTTGATGACACTCCTTAGCCTCTGGGCTGGTGGAAACCTGTGGTCTGTCAGAACACTGCAAAAGGGTTTATCTGGATAGTCTCAAGGGTGGTAGACAGTGATGGCTTTTTAGGGGCTAACGAAAACCCAAGATGATTGGGCTCCAGATCCAGAGCATTGCAAGTCCCCACAATCCCAAAATCTAACTCGTCCACCAGCCTTAGAGATCCACCATCTTCCCACCCTCCTCCCATCCTTCCCTCCCCTAATTCCTTTCTTCCTTTTGCCTTAAAAATTTTTTTTTTCTTCCTTTTGTTTCACATGTCAATCCCAGCTCCCTCTCCCTCCCCTCCCCCCAAGGCCCCCCTAGTCCCCCACCCAATCTCCACTCCGATTCCCAGGGAGGGTGAGGCCCTCCATGGTAGATCTCCAGTGACTGTCATGTCATCCAGGGCAGGGCCTAGGCTCTTCCCCAAGAGTCCAGGCTGAGAGAACATCCCTCATTGTGGGGGATGGGCAGCCAAAGTCTGTTTGTATGCCA